TACTGCTACTCCTTGGCTCCTCCTTACTGCTGTCTTTCTGCCACATCCCTGATCTTCTGGTAGGAAAGATCTACACCTAGCCTTCTCGGACAAGGGCGAAAAATCTCGGAGGGCCCGTGTGCAAGTTGCGCACGTTAAAGATTCCTTGGTGGTCTAAAATCGATAAGAGTAGGCTTCGGCCGCCACCCGGGGAAAATTCAAAATTTCCTGCCAACTGAAAATATTAGATGTGTCTCGCACGCTCATATGATGTATGCAGTTGCGAGCGCCGTAAAACACTTTACAAAAACAAACAAACAAAGTTGTATCTGACATTTTGACCGTTTTGAGTAGCTAAGACCATGAGGTCAGAAACAAATAAATATTCTACCTGCTCTGTGAAAATCGTAAGATTATATTTTGGAGCCCTTATCAAGATGTTCAAAGAATTGCAATCGAAAAAGGGCGTCAAATTTATCAAAACTAGGTACTGAGCAGATAGTAGTTTGTTATTCTTGGGTAGTGATTTGTTTAGGTCTCGGTAACTTCTACAAATACACACAGTCACATCCCCTATCATGCCCAAAGCACGTTTTTCCCAAGGTCTCAATATCTTTCAGATTTGATCCGATGCTTCGTCTTTAAAAATTCCGTCGTTAACCTCAAAAGTGGCAGCCGGGTCACAATCTAGGCAATCCGGCATCCTGGAAAACTCGGTTAAACTGTCAAGAGGACCAAGTTTTTCTGATACCAGGGGTTTCAAGGTATGAGGATCAGCTCAAGTGGACACCGGCCTCCCTTGACCAGCGCTTGAGATGACCACAGGGACGCGTCCAAACCACTCACGAGAGAGTCTCCAAAGGTCCTATCTTTTGTTTCGTAACATGAGACGGGTGTATAAAAAGGAGGCTGGCAGTTGGTAGGGTAGCAGACCTAGTCCACTGTGTCTACACTGACGACAAACATGTGGAAGGTAAGCTAGAGTTAGTTGTTGTTGTTGTTGTTGTTGTTGTTTTTCTTTTCTGACATCTCTCTCTCTCATTCTCTCTCTCTTTCTCTATCTATTTCTCTCTCTCTCTCTCTCTCTCTCTCTCTCTCTCTCTCTCTCTCTCCCTCTCTCTCTCTGTCTGTCTGTCTTGCTATTATTATTATATTATTATTATTATTATTATTTTTATTAATTATAA